CTGAGAATCATTTTTTGTTTTTAATTCATTATTTAGGCTAACAATATGTGTTTTAGTCTCCTAGTGATTATTAATATCTTTGTTCCTGACAATGAAACAACTCTGAACTCATACCTTGTTTTCTATAGAGTCGTTAAGTAAACCCTATTTAGAATGTCAATTATTAATTGCACTTTGTTTGTGCTTATTATTATTAGTCTCCAAGGAGTTTAAATGATGATGTTAAAAGTAGAGTTCTGCCTTAGTCGTCTTATTCTAATTGTAGTTAGAGAAAGACTAAAAAGATAGATTATATTGATCAATTACTTCTTACTACGTAGTATTTTAAATAGAGTTAATTACCCTAGGTATAACTAAAACTCAATGAGTTTCCCAATCTATGACTTAACTAGTTTTTTTTTCTCAAAATAATATTATAATTCTCTATTTTTAATTAAAATTCGTAATTAATAATTAATAATTAATTTTTAGGGAGAAATATACCCTTTTGGTTATACCTATAAAACCCTAACCTCCTACCCATTTTCTACAACCCTAGATATAACCTCCCAACACCCCACCATCGTCCAGCCACCCCACCATCCAGCCTCCGCCGCACGTCATCCAGCCGCAGCCGCACGCCATCCAACCGCCGCCAGCCGCTTCTGCACATCGTCCAGCATCCGCCAGCCGCCCAGTGCCACTGCGTTCCACAGAACTCCGACGTAGCTTGATGGTCCAGTTCTCCGCCCGACCAGGGTCCGAAGGTCTCGTCGTCTAGCAGCCGCTCCTCGCCGTCGTCCAGCCGCCGCTCCTCCTCCTCGTCCCAGATTTGTGCGCCGCCGTCCCAGATCTGTGTGTCGCCGTCCAAGACTTCTGCGCCCCTTCCCCGACCTGTGCGCCGCCGTCCCAGGCCGTCCGCACCGCCTCCCATCCATCTGCGCCCCAACCTTCATCCCGTCACATTTTTTTTTGAATTCTTGATCGAATACGTAGTTTCAACTTGGCAGTACAATATTGACCTGCAGATCAGATTTGCTATTGCGGCATATAGTTTTTGAGATTAGGTTTTATATTGAATTTAGGGTTTTTGAGCATTAAATATGGGCATTGAACACCATCAATGAACATTTCAATAAAGTGTTGAGTATGGACAGTGAAAATGTATGGTAATAGGCATATTGTGCATGACAGTGAATGAATACATTGAGAAATTTTGTCGTGCATTGATTATGACCGGTATTGCAGTAACACAGAGTAGTGAATTCATCATGAAATGCAATATACTTAATTAGACGTAAAATAATAAAATTATTAAATCTAAAAAAAAGAACAAAAATAAATTCATCAAGTGAATGACAAGAGAATTAATTTTGGCAAAAGTGCAGTGATCATAACTGGATGTGCAGTGAAAACGTGCATTAATTTTGTGCATTAACGGCAATATTAAGTGCATTAATTTTAATTAGAAGAAATTAGTGCAAAATGCACATATTTTAAATAAAGGTATTTTCGTCATTCAACATTTAAATATAAACGAATTTTCTATTTGTTTTTGGATTTTTGGTCATATAAAGGTATAAAAACTAGCTAGTTAGGTCATAGATTGAGAAACTCATTGAGTTTTAGTCATATCCCGATAAATTTCCCATTTTAGATATCGCATGATTCTATGGAAAGGGACAACAAATACAAACTACAAACCTTATTTTCTTGTTATATTTATTAAATTTAGGAAATGCGAATACAAAAATGAAGTATGATATTCTCATTCTCGTATTCATTTCCACAGTTTTACACATTCCAATATTTTAACCCGTCTTATATGTTAAATAAATGAATAATATGAGTTCGAAAAAAGTGTAACACAATTTTTATGCGTTTAAAACTGTTTTTTAATCGATATATAGTTCTCTTTATTGTTCTTAGATTTCTTTTTGAATTCTTTTGCGGCTTCCAAACGGATCCTTGAAGCTTAGAGAAAAACATGCATGTATAGTACCGTAGTATATGAATATAGAAGCACTAATCATGCTGTATAATGCCTCGAGCTAATGAATACCGGATCACTCCGTAAAAGATTAATGATTTAATAATTAGGTTTGTCTCCGGAGAGATCTGTAATCCACTATTAGTAAACTTATCTTAAATCTCAATTACGTCCCAAATATTTAGGCATTGGGTTCGGTTTAATTATATTTTTAAATGTGGCTTTGGGTTTAGTTGAATATATAATAACAATTATTAGGATAGTATCTTGGTTTGCTTTCTTGTGAAGTTGTGATCATAGTTTTCTTGATCATTTTAATATTTCAAGAACTCATTTGCATATATTTTTGCCCATTACTGGCCGGTCTCTATAGGATAACAAAACAAATATTTGTACACCCTCAAATCCATACATGCTCCATACAAAAAATGTCCTCACAGACGGCGTGTATGGAGCATGTATATATAGAGGCCAATTATGGACCAAGCAGCGAAAAGATGTTTTTACTTGGATTGTAATTTGCTGGTCTGGTCAGATCTGGTCTGGTAATGTCTGATCTCTTTGCATTTTTATAATTATCCAAGTCTGATCTGGTCTAGTCTGATCTGATCTGGGACAGATTACCGTCCAAGTAAAAACATTCTAAGGCATATGATCCAAAATGGGTATGTAAAAAGAATAACAAGGCATAGGATTTTAAGATAAATTTACTTCCATTTTATGGAGCAACGAACATAGTAATTCTTAAAAATCTTAGAAGAAATATTACGTAGTAATAGATTCTCAAAATATACGGAGTAGTTCAATTGAGTGAGAGAGTCTCTTTGAGATTTCCTTTGCTTATCTCTCGGTCTCTTATTTCCTGCTTCAAAATAGGTCCAAAACTTAAGAACTGGATTAGATAGCTAAACATAATACTCCCTCCGTCCCACTAACAATGGGACAAGATGAAGTGACACGCAAATTAATAAAAAGTTGTGTATGTTATTGATATTGAATTGATAAAGTAAGAATAAGGTAAGAATGATTTAGAGTCGTGCAAATTTTACCAAATTTGGTATGAAACAATCTTAGTGGGACAGACCGAAAAGGTAAAATGAGATAATCATAGTGGGACAGAGGTAGTGAACACCTAAGGTCATTATCATTAATGAGCAGGTTGAGACAATAGATTGAGCAATTTTGCTCTTTGTACCCACCCAATGTACCCACCCTATACACACTACAAATACCCAAAAAAAATTTACCCCCTTTCACCCCATTTACCTATTCCCCATCTGTCTTCTCTCCCCTCCCCTTTCACCTCTCTCCCTCATTATACGCCATCTTTCTCATCTCCCCCATTCTCGTATGCATCTCTCACCCTTCTCTCTTTCTATCTTTTTTTTGCTTATTTTGTTTCTTCACACCATTAAATTCATTTTTGCGGCTCGAAGTGATGCAGATGGAAGAGATAAAGATGGTCAATCTACTTCGAATATATCTATGGCCATCCACTATTTCAATGTAAAATTCAACTTATATTTTTCTTTATCTTGTTCATTGTGTTTTCTGTACATTTAGATTTTTTTCTTCTTTGATTTTATGTATATAAAATATGTTAATGTTGAATGCTTAATTACAATGATATTTCGTATAATGTTATAGATCTGTGATTGCTTATTATTGAAGTTTTAATTCAAACTATTCTATTACACTTTTATGTCTACAAGGTGTTTGTAGAAATGACTCAATGAATTTTTTATTCATATCCACAATTTGTGTGTTCATTTTCCCTTTTTGACTTTATATTTGGATATGATATTCTAGACTTGTTCGCTTATTTTTCAGCCTGTTCCAATTTGTTTTGCAAGACTTTTTAATCTAAAAGTTCAGCTTACTTTGTATTTGATGGCCAAAGAAGTACTTTTTTGTGATCTTGAAATTCTAAACTGCAGCTACGTGGTAAGATTGTCACCCATAAAGGCTAGCAGGATGAACAGCTTGGCTAATACTAACCAACCAAAAGTGAAATGATGAACAACAAGGTGGAGTTGTGAGTGATATTACGCAAAAAACAAAAATGAAAGTGAAGAATGGGAATTGCAAGAATGGTTCTCCTAAATGCCTTGGATTTGTCAAGGTCAATATGGATGAACTTCCAATTGGAAAAAAGTGGATCAAAATGCTCACTATAGGTCACCTTGCTCTGTTTTTTGTTTGTAATTATGAGATCAAAATTGGTCATTTAGCTATGTATATTTTCCAATAATTTATGTAGCTCATTTTACAATGTAATACGTTTGGTTTTATTGATAATAACCTTGCTGGTGTATGCAATAGAATATACAATAGTTTTTTGTGAATTGTGTGTACAGATGATTCTATGTACAAGTTTTGTCAATGGCTATGTTTGGCATTCATAAGTACATGTCTTCTAGTTTTTGTGCTATTTAAAAAGTCTTCAAAAGCTTCTAGTTGCATGTTTGTTATGTCAAATTTTAAGACCTTTTAAAAAAAATCTTTTTTGAGTTGCTATGAAGAGTAGCATCTGGGAAAAACCTGTGACTTTTAGTACTCCGTATTAATTAGTCCTAACAGCTTGTATACCAAACCGAACTAAATCAAACAGTCAGCTTCTTACCAAACAGCTCACACCTTTTCATTTTAAGATCTTTTCAGTCACTAAAAGCTAACAATTACTAAAAAGATTACAAAAATATCTTTCGGCTAGTTGTGCCAAACATACTCAATGTACAGACAAAAAGACTACAAGTTTTGTCTATATATAATTTTTTTAAAGTTAAATTGTTTGGGGCACATATAAAAAATGTTTAGACCTAAACAATATTTATATATGTCAAGAAAATATAGAGACCTTTTTTTAACCACACGCAGCCAACATAAACCAAAATACATGCAATATACATGTTCACACAAATAATATAAACAAGCACTAACAATTACTTTTACTCACGAACAAAATAAATGAATACACATACAATATTTTAACAATGCACAGACAATATAAAGGAATACACGAACAATTATTTATTAGGTAAATACATGAACACAAATACACAATGACAATGTCTAATCATACACAAGCAATTATTTGATATGGACGCTTTAGATAAAATTACCAATTTTACATTCTGAATACATTTACATACTCAATACAATAAAAATTGAATACGAAATATTACTTTACAAAGTGACTATATTACAACAACTAATATTATTGAGGTAAACAACATACTACGCATATAATAATGTTCTTAATGTCATTGTCTGGCCGCCTCTTCTTGACCAAAATGCAATCCTCAAAAACAATCTTCAAGATTTTTTCCTCAAATGCAACCTCAATCCCAAACTAGGACTTGCTCTTTATGCTTACCTGCTTGGTGCTTTCAGGTTTGGGCTCTTGCTGACTCCAAACATCAAGATTTTTTAGGCATCAATGAAGTCATTACTTCAATGCATGTACTTTTTTATGACTTACCTAATTCCTTCATAGTGATCATGATTATAAACAGTTATCATCTTTGTGGTGCTATAGCTGATATCCTTGGCACAAGAAGGACAAGAGCTAAACTCAAATCTCCTTAAAACCGCAAGCAAGTCAGTAAGTGGATTAACCCACAATATTCTTTGCACGCTCAGTTTCGGTGCTAGTGGTACCGATAATTGACCTGGTTACTTGTTCCTTTTGCCCATACCTTCAATCTGTCTAGGTGTATCCCAATTAGTGTTCTGTAAATATGCTTTGCAGAGAGAATGCTTTGTTTTGATACAAGGTGTTTTACTCTTTCACTTCTCTTTCTTTGTTGGAATTTATTTTTTATTGATGGCATGCGGCATGTGGATCCTCCAACAAAAACCACTTCATCCAAATTTGCATTACTCTGAATTTTTATGTATATAGAGTCAGTCAAGTAAACATGATTATGTGAGTAATAATAAAAGTATCCTAACAAAGAACTAATATAATGACAACACTAGCAGTAATATGAACACACAAATTGTGGATATGAATAAAAAATTCATTGAGTCATTTCTACAAACACCTTGTAGACATAAAAGTGTAATAGAATAGTTTGAATTAAAACTTCAATAATAAGCAATCGCAAATCTATAACATTATACGGAATATCATTTTAATCAAGCATTCAACATTAACATATTTTATATACATAAAATCGAAGAAAAATAAACCTAAATGTACAGAAAACACAATGAACAAGATAAAGAAAAATGTAGGTTGAATTTTACATTGAAATAGTGGATGGTCATAGATATATTCGAACTAGATTGACCATCTCTATCTCTTCCATCTGCATCACTTCGAGCCGCAAGAATGAATTTAATGGAGTGAAGAAACAAAATAAGCAAAAAAAAAAAAAAAAAAAAAAAAAGAGAAGGGTGAGAGATGCATACGAGAATGGGGGAGATGAGAAAGATGGCGTATAATGAGGGAGAGGGGTGAAAGGGGAGGGGAGAGAAGACTGATGGGGAATAGGTAAATGGGGTGAAAGGGAGTAAATTTTTTTTGGGTATTTGTAGTGTGTATAGGGTGGGTACATTAGGTGGGTACAAAGAGCAAAATTGTAGATTGAGTGATGTGGTTAATATATATTATATATATATATATATATATATAGAGAGAGAGAGAGAGAGAGAACTTCATGTCAGGCCGGCCTGACGGGCTGCCCCGTCCGGCCGAGCCCGTTTGGGCACCTTCCCGGTGGAATTTTTTGATGAAATTTTTTGAACATGTTCCTCATCAAGTCTAGTTTGTCCATACCAAATTTCAGCTCAAAATTCAATCGGGAAGGTCGTCAAATGAGTTTTGCAAGTTAACTGGTCCGGAATATGTATTTTCCGGACCAGTTAACTTGCAAAAATCATTTGACAACCTTCCCTATCGAATTTTGAGCTGAAATTTGGTATGGACAAACTAGACTTGACGAGGAACATGCTCAAAAAATTTCATCAAAAAATTCCACCGGGAAGGTGCCCAAACGGGCTCGGCCGGACGGGGCAGCCCGTCAGGCCGGCCTGACATGAAGAGCACTCTATATATATATATATATATATATATATATATATATATATATATATATATATACTGCCTCCGTCCCATTTATATTGTCCCGGACTATGTAGCACCGATACCGGTACGCGGAAACGCGGAAACGCGGAAACGGGTACGGGGATACGTCAAAACCAAAAAAAGTAGGATACGGATACGGGGCCATATTTATAAATATTAAAAGTTATGGGGGCGTATTTACAAATATTAAAAGTTATAGGGGTCCATTTATAAATATTAAAAATAGATTTTTTTCAATATATATATATATATATATATATATATATATATATATATATATATATAGAAAAGATCAGGTCCCTCCGGAGGGACGGGAGAGACCGTCCGAACTTTACTGTTTGGGGTGGTTCCCGGTAGAAATTTTTGATGAAATTCTTTGAGCATGTTCCTCATCAAGTGTAGTTTGTCCATACCAAATTTCAGCTCAAAATTCGACCGGGAAGGCAGTCAAATAAATTCTTGAAGCTTACTGCACATTCTGCGCATATATAAAGTGCAGTAAGTTTCAAGAATTTATTTGACTGCTTTCCTGGTCGAATTTTGAGCTGAAATTTGGTATGGACAAACTAGACTTGATGAGGAACATGCTCAAAAAATTTCATCAAAAAATTCCACCCGGGAACCACCCCAAACAGTAAAGTTCGGACGGTCCCTCCCGTCCCTCCGGAGAGACCAGAGCAGTCCTCTATATATATATATATATACATATAATATCCTATGATGTCTACCCATTCATTGCATTGAAGCATTTTCCTTTTTCAAGATACTTAGTAATAAATTCATTATATTTCTCATATATGCTAGTGTATCTCGAAATATAAATGTAGTCAATAAGTCATTAATTTAAAATGAGAAATGAGTCAAACAACTGCAATCTTGAAATTAAAAGTGCAAGTACCCACTTTGGAGTATGAGCTAATGACTTAATTCGGATATAGCCATATAGGCCCATTATTTGATTACCAAGTAAAATGTAGTTTTAGATTTTCATTTTTTTGGAATTTTATTAAGTAAATTTTGGGATTTTTTTTTTAAAAAAAAGTTGATACAGGTATCCGTCAGGATACGAGTATCGGAAACTTTCAAAAAATTACAAAAAAAAAATGGAAACTTTTAAAAATTGCAGATACGGCCCGAGAACGTACGGTACGGGTATCCTAAAGTATCGGATACGGGAACGTATCCGATACGCCGATACGCTACCCTAGGGAAGTATCCGTGCTTCATAGGTCCCGGAAGAGGGTGACACGTTATTAAAAAAAGTGGGTTTGTGTGGTTGATATTAATTGATAAAGTAAGAATAAAGTAAGAATGATTTAGAGCCACACAAACTTTGCCAAATATGGTATGTGACAATTTAAGTGGGACTTCCCGAAAAGGTAAAACGGGATAATATAAATGGGACGGGGGGCTATGTTGTAAAAACCGGACCGGAGAGTGACCCAGCCACATGATTGGGTCACGGGTCCACCCGGACCCGGTGGGTCAACCCGGTCAACGCCGGATAACCGGTCAATGATTATACGTCTATATAATAATAGTAAACATATAATTATATATAAAATTATAATAAAAATTAGTTATTATTCATAATAATCATCTTACAATACTACTTATTAAACACTTAATACACTCTTATAATATTTCAATGTATATTTTGATCTTATAAAAATATATAATGATATTTTTATTTTTATTGTACATCTATATTATAATTTGGCATGATGTTCATTCTTAAATAAATATATAAATATATTACATAGCTTTTCTTTTTAAGGTATTGAAATTGCAATTTTATTGGTATAAAAAATGCATTAAAAATAAAAAAAAATTACTTTTTTTTTTGGTAAAAACACCCAAAAACTGGGTTTTACCGGGTTTTTCGGGTTTCTTGGGTCCGGGTCTTGACCGGGTTTTCCCGGGTCAGCCGAGTTTTTCCGATTTTTGACCATTTCCGGGTTTTGAAAAAACCGAACCGGATTTTTGTCCGGGTCACCGGGTTCCGGGTCAACCCGGCCGGGTCGGGTCGGTTTTTTAAACATAGACGGGGGGGAGTATATATATACAATATATTAAGCATTACGTATTTAGGATGTTTTCTTTTGGACTGAAATTTGCTGGTCTGGTCTGGTCTGGTAAACGTCTGGTCTCTGTGATTTTATAACTACGGAAGTCAAGTCTGGTCTGGTCTGATCTGGTCTGATCTGGTCTGATCTGGTCTGGTCTGGTCTGGTCTGGTCTGATCTGGTCTGGTCTGGGACTGAAAACAGTCCAAAAGAAAACATCCTTAACAATCAACATATGTATGTACTCCCTTCGTTTCTAAAAGAAAGTCACGGTTTGACTTCACGATTATTAAGGAAATAAATTGACTTTACTGTAGAAAACACTGTTTAGACACTGTTTGGCACTGTTTGGACACTGTTTGATACTGTTTGGATGTAGATTTCTTTGCCAAATAAGGAAATAAGGGAAGTGTGACTTTTATTTTGGCACATCTAAAAAATGAAAGTGTGAGGTTCTTTTAGAAACGGAAGGAGTATTAGATAAGTATATTAAATTAATACTAGTATAAAAGAATTACCATATACTACGTATTTACGTTTCTTCCGAGCAAATGTTCGAATTTCGTTCTTTTTTTATCACAAGCGTCTACCCTTCAATTCTTTCAGGGAGTGTCATTTGAGGTGGCTCCCGGTGGAATTTTTTGATGAAATTTTTTGAACATCTTATTCATTAAGTCTAGTTTACTCATATCAAATTTCAGATAAAAATTCAATCGGGGAGACATTGAAATGAATTCTTGAAGATAATTGTGTCGTTAAAAGCGTAGTTATCTTCAAGAATTCATTTGAATGTCTTCTTGATTGAATGCTTAGCTGAAATTTGGTATGAGTAAACTAGACTTAATGAATAAGATGCTCAAAAAAAATTATCAAAAAATTCCACCGGGAGCCACCTCAAATAGCACGTCCAGACATAATCTTCTATATAAGGACTTATTTGACACCTTTTTTACAAGTTCGAGTACCAAACTGACCTTTTACTTTCATATGCGCCTGAAATATTTCCGAGAGGCCAAACGGTGAGCTCTAATTTTGTGAGTATACAAAAATTATTTACCAGTATTCTCAGAATGATCCCACCTAAATAAAATCTCAGAATAATAAGCCAAAAAAAAATCTCAGAAAAATTTTCAGTTTTTTCACTTCTCCCCCCATTTTCTTTCACCGTACTTGTGTCTTTTCAATTGCTGACTTACTATTCCAAATTGTCTTTCTTTTGAAAAAATTAAACAAATACGGAGCACTAGTAATCCACATTTTTTTATGACTTTTCCTTTTCCTCACTAGAAGTTTCTCCTTTTATCATCTTGGTACTTTTTTTCATTTTAGTGTTATTTTATTCATTTCCTCGGTATGTAGTCCCTTTCCGCCCTGTCAAACAAGATTTTGGAAAAAAAAAAATCAAATACCCAAACTTTTAATGAGTGTGAGGTAAAATCCCAAAACAAAACCTGCATATATAATATGATGATCGACTTGATGAAAAAAATGCTAAAAAATTTTAACAGAAAAGTCCTAAAACGGGCAAGTTTGAACGGGGTTTCTCATCAGAACTACCTAAGGTGATACTTTTTTACTACTCGTATGATGTTATAGATGTAGTATTTTTATTATTTGATAATCAAATTGTCATTTAAAAGTGTTAGTTGTTTTCTAAACTAGAAATGAGAACTTTATACGGGACATCCAAAAAAGAAGGTAAGAACTATTCCATAATATCTTCACTAAAAACCAATTCAAGGGCGATCTGCCCCCCTCAAAGGTAGGATTTTTCTTTGCCGCCGATCAATCTGATCGTGCGGATATATGATTTCAGTTGGTTTGGATCGAAGTAAGGAAGCACTGCTCTTGCGGCTGATACCTAGCGCTTCGTTCGTTCGTCGAAAGAGGCCGAGTTTCATTCGTCGGCATTTTTGGGCGCAATTGCAGGGAAAGATGAATGCATCACCGGGCTTGGTCGTGAAGAAGGTAACAACAAGCGGCGGTTTTGCTACGAGTGCGGGACGAGGAGAGCTGTACGGGTTTCGCGTAGGCCAGATTTCGATCGACAATGGCGGATCAATTAGAGTGGTACCAATGGTACAGCCTCCTCCTGAACCACCGTCAGAGGCTGAACGAGGTACTAGCGTTCGTGAAAGTTATCTTACTAGTTATTAGAGAATATTACCCGAAATAGGACTAAAAAGGTTTTAAAATTCCAAAATAGGACTCATGATTTTTATTCCCAAAATAGGACTAATTACTGCCATGTTTTGGCAGTACCAAACTTCAAACCTGGCAGTATTTTTCAAACTTGGTAGTAATTACTCCTATTTTGGGAATAAAAAACATAACAATCCTATTTTGGAATTTTCAAACTGTTGTAGTCCTATTTCGAGAACTTTCCCTAGTTATTACTACGCATTAATTTGTTATTTGGATTGTTACGGTCTATGTTGTTAGGATTTCTAGTTTGTTTGGAAATTTAGCCTACTTTTATGTCGTTGGAAATACATGGATCTATAGGACCCGTGATAGTTGTGTCAAACGACTCAAACACGCTTCATGATTAGCAATTCGTGTTGCTCTTTCAGGAGTCCACTACAGTTGTGTCAAGTCCACTACAGTTGACAGTTAATGATGCAAATAAAGAATTAAAATAAATAAATACTAAATTATTGTACTTCCAATTGAACAAGCATAAAAACTAACGGTACTCCTACAAATCCTGCAATCAAATCTAATACAGAAGACAGGGAATGAAACATCCAGTACTGCTTAAATAAGATTTAGTGCAGAAGACATAATTATAAAAAAATATGCATATAATAATTGGTGTCAAAAGTGAGCATTGGGGTATGATCAAAATTGCGGCTACCCGGGTCGGTACACTCACAATGGGTGTTTAATCATACCTTGTTGAATCTTGAAACTCAATAATAACGTGGTACTAACTACAAAAAGAATTACAAATGCAGAAGAGAGGAATTTGTTGCAATATAATAAAAATACATAACATGGATTGCGGTATGTAACAGGAACATCCTTAAATATGGTATGTCTTCGTTTTTACCATATGCTTGCCGGGACAATGGAGCTTACCTCTGAAAATTTGATTGATCGCCAGCAGCCCATCAGAGTTGAGGAGCATTATTGGCAAGTTCAAGATGTATCCTCTAAATAAAAATGCTGTGGAGTTGGGGTTGTAGGGACAAAACACCCTTAAAATTGTCAAACTGAATAAGACATCAGCTTTGTTTGGTTGTCCCACCCCACTTTCACTCTAATTAAGTGCTTCCAGTCCAGTAACTTTTCACAGAAACAAGAATTTTCTCCGGGTTAAATGGTCCACTTTCATGATCCACAATCCGACTCTCCCATCTCATCCTATCTGTTATACTCTTCACCTTCACCAAAACCTCCACTGCATCTCTGAATATCACAGTCCCTTCAGGCCTCAAGATCCTGTCCATCTCCAGAAGAATGTTTGCTATGTCGCACCTTCAACCACAAAATTGAGTTTGCTAGATTAGAGCAACAACATGACTAGAAAATTATGATAAAAAAAAAACATGACTAGAAAATTGAACTCAACCATTTAAACCATCATTGTACGTCTATGTAAGTTACTAACTTATGGTAAGTGTAAAATGGTAATTTCATCTCAAATGTGCATCTTGAGTATGGTGTAGAAAAATGCATGTAAAGTTCTCATCCAAGTTTTACAACATAGATTGATGACACTTTCAGAGTAATATTGTCATTTTGGTTACCAACATTTTATGATATATCAGTAATAACTTTAATATTAGTGCGCGTTTGGTTGATCCTCCATAAAGCACCCTATCTCAAGAAAAAAACGCATTTTCCCAATAATATAAACCTTGCCTCTTAGAAATGGATTCCCTATTCCGAAGGAAGATTAATCCACTTTCAAGGGAAAGTGAAATATAATTAGGTTAGGTGTATGAGGGAGTCAAAACATCATATTTTTATTTTCCACTGAAGATACTATTAGGATAACTGAATGCGCATTGTAAGGGTAAAATACTAATTTGATCCCAAACATTGTAAGTGAACATTTCATGCTCATGGTTATGAGTAATGGAATCACCATTTTAACCATCACTGCATGGTAGATGTAACATTAACTTTAATAAGGGTTAAATGGTAAAACAACACTCAAGTTACAAGTTACCTGGGCTGATATATGCTGAAGACGCCGCCAGCGTGGATGAGATCATATGTACGTGGATACGTGGAGAATGCTTCGCACCAATCATGGTACGTGCCGATGAAGCCACGTTCGTAGATCACTCCCAAAGTGTCGGGGTCTATGTTAGCCGGGACAACATTCATCACCCACACCGGATACTTCAACAAAGCAGCTGCAAAGCCACCTAAATTGGCATTCATGTCCATTACGTTCCGGTACTGCCCTTGGTGTAAGGGACTTGCAATTTTTTTGTAATATGCCACTCTTTGCTTCCACACTTCGTTATCCTCTTTGAATGTCTCTGTTGTGATGCTACCCTGGACTGAACCACTGCTAATCCTTGGTGGAACGGCAAATGCACGCTCTGGCCACTTCACTAATGCACCGCCTGCAACTTCATCTGCTTTACTTACCTCCGGCAGTGGGGTTATACACGACTCCATATCCTTGTACCTTTCTCAAGAAACAAAAGGCATTTGTGTGACTTCATTGACTTGTGAGGTAATACAGGGTAATAATAAATATTTTAATGTGGAAATCCCGGCCTAGTCCCCATTCATTCAAGATTAGACAACATTGCCTACTAGTAGTAGCCCATTAATAACATATATGTTATATTGTACTTAATATACTTTCTCATGTAAGATAGATCTATATTGAAGCCCTCCAAAATAGTGACTCATTGGAACATATGTCAATCTTACAATCCAATAACTCCATGTACGTACTCATATGTGAGACTCACATAATCAAATTGCTTGTTTGAGGTTTTCGTAACCTATTAATACTTCGGGTTATATTCCTCACGAAGTCAACTAGATAGGAGTAACCCAATAACTAGACCAATCATGAAATTCAATTACTCATTTAAGCTTAAAATCAACCTAATGGGAAGAATGAGCAAAAACTTATATGTAGTATATGTTGGTTTCTGTTTATATTTTCAGATGCAAGATGGCTTGCAACCTAACCCTAGTAATCGTTACCTAGGCGCTTACCACAATAAACTGTTAATCCATTGCAATTATCAGAAGAGGACGTACCAAGCATCATCGGCATCACTGGACTTGCAAATCGATAATGATCTGGTACAGCCCAGATGGTTTATGGGCTTTTGCCAGACAGATAGATCTCCCTTTTCAGTTACCTTTTTCCAGCACAATCGTTTGGCAGCATCCTCAATGGAGTCTTGCTCTTTCTTCAAATCTTCTTTGGTCCTCTCCCACCCTCTCCAATGTGTCTTCCAGTTGATAGGTGGGCCTGAAAGTATCCAGTACCCTCCTGGCCTAAGCACTCTGTCAACCTCAGTTAAATATAATCCATCTGTAAGCACAAGAAAGACAGAAACAACACTTCAAACTGAGACAGACAATGCACCAACAATATCCCATTTAAGGCTTGAAATAGAAGACAAATATAGGAATTTAATGTGTATCTCTTATTCCATTGTTATACTACCTCCATCTAAAACAAAGTGTCATACTGTCGTGCTCAACCAAGGTACGGATTTTGAATTTTTGTCAGGTCGAGTACAACTAGTGGAAAACCTCGTTTATAGTTATACATTTAAAATTCAGTATACTTAACTTGTTTGTGAATCTTCAAAAAAAAATACGAGTGTAATGGAAATTAGCTTCTTTTGTTCAAAAAGGGAGCTCACCATTGACGGCCCAAGGTATCAAGCAGCGTGAGCAGTGGGCCAAATCAAAAGCTCTTGCAGGATATGGAAGTCTTTGTGAACCCAAAACACCAATCATAGCCGGGACACCTCTCTCCAGAGCAAACCATACCTGCGCTTCGTGTGTATCTCTCGGGGCAAAAGACATAGCCACAACATTTCTCTTCAACAGATATGCACCCCAACTTGCCACCTTACAATATACATTCCAAATAAAATAAAATAAAATAAAATAAACTGTTATGATAGACAAAGCATAATAGTAACTGATATGTGAGTCTGAGTCTACTCTAATGATATCATGTGGGGCGCTCACCCACAAGGTCATAAGATGGTTTGGGAGCCTATTTTAGGGAGAGTTTGGGCCCACATGACCACCCTTGCAGTGTCCACAATGGCTTGAGCAGAGGGGATGTGTTGAGTATTTGTTAGGTCTAATATTTATGTGTGAGTAAAACCTCGTCGCTTGAAGATGGTACCAAAACCTGATCTAATTGTGGTTTGTTTGGTTTTTGTGCCCCATTTGGACAGAGGGGGTAAGTGTCCCATATCAACATTACATAGATTTATTAAGTCTAATACTCCCTCCGTCCCTAAATCAACTTCTCACTTTTCTTATTATGGTGTGCCAAAATAAACTTCTCATTTTCATTAAAAGTAATTTTTCAAAAGAAAATGTCAAAACTACCCTTACTTTTTATTTACTTTTATATTGATTAGACATAAAGTAGGGGTATAATTAGAAATTCAAAAAAAAAATTATCTTGCAAAAATATGTGTGAGTTAAACCGGGAAGTTGTTTCTGAGACGGTATGTGAAAATGAGTTAAATTTCATCCATTTTGTAGTGAGTTGGGCCTAATTTCAAAGTATCTCACATTGGTTACTGCATCTCTCTGTCAAATATCTTTTGGGGTGAGTTGCAACCAATTTAATTGTAACTACAAAGCCTGTATCAATATATGACAAGAAGAATGTTACTTACTCCACAGCCTGTATCAATGGCGGTTCGAATGGCCCCATTTGTGAGGGGAATGAGGTCACTAATATCATCAATGTATGCATCAGCTCCACGGGGAAACATAGTGCCACCCCCAGGAAACCTAAGGCGGTCGCCTTCAACCTGAACCCAATTCTGGACGGCTTTCTCAACGCTAAGCTCTTTGTGGGGAATATTGGCAAACCAAGCGTAGTCCCTACTCTGAGGCCACTTGAAAGGTCTCTTGTAGTTTGGCGGGGCTGGAATTAGGCAGCTGAGGAGCTCTTCCTTTGAGGGGCAATGCCTCTCCCTGTATTTCATCATGTCCCGAGGAAACATCCTTCCCCTTGGTGGATGTTGGCACGGAGTATACTCACTGTATGACATGTTACATGGTGGGAAGTTCTTATTCTCCTCGGCATCATCTTCATTCACCGCCAACTGATGATGGCTTTCAAAATCAAGCGGTGTTGATGATGATGATGATGATGATGACGATGATGACACGGCTGGATTTTCGGATGATTGACTGTTATTGCATTCAACACTTGTGGAAAGGTGAGATTGGCCAGCAGAAGAGATGGGAGAGTATGTACTCTGCCAAGCTCCTAGAATGTAGAATAGGATGCAAAGGCCACTTACTCCCAAAATCCAAGTCAGTTGTTTCCTCTTCGCTTCCAGCTTTTGAAGCTTTGGGGACCCACTATGCTCCTTCGCCATCTAATTTGGCAGCCAACCAGTAATTCATTAATAGCAATTGAACAATGTATCTATGTAATATATAATATATAATAATAATAATTATTAGTAGTAATGTTGTTGTTATGCAGTTTCTCAGCAAAATCGAAAAGATAACAAATATCAAGAGAAATATAGGTAGCCTATAGATCAAATGTTTATATTTATATTCTCTTTTATTTTGCATTTGATTATTTTCAATAAAAAGTACAGTGAGAGATTTGTGCTTAATTGTCTGCAAAAACTCTAACTATAAAATTCAATTTTTTTTTAATTTATGATTTATCTCAACCCAAAGATTGGCTCTCATTCAATAAACTGCGTGAAAGTGTTCATATTTTATATTTATATTGCTTAATTTATAATTCAAAATGAAGTTTGAATCAGAGTATAGTAACCTAAGACATCTATGATGAAACATAATAAAGCTTGTATATTAACAAAGACTGATAGATAAACTTTAAACGACCTCACATTTTCCGTATCAGAGTATAGTAACCTAAGACATCTATGATGAAACATAACAATGCTTGTATATTAGCAAAAATGTGGTTTTAGTATACATTTCCAAACATCAATTTTATTTAAAACTAAAATGAATAGGGCAAGCAAAGGGATACTACCTATTTAGTAAAAAATGATGATTTGAGAAGAAATCAAACATGCTTGAAAACAATCAAAATAAATAGGGGGATAATGTATTAATGTCAATGTGCGTGTGATTTAAATTTTTATTTTTGAAGATTGAACTGTACACTTTCTGAACATATACATATAGCCATATAGGCATATAGCTATAGGGAATATATACTTGTCTATTTTGCCAAAGAATACTATTTTCAGAATTGCCCTTCTTGTCCTTTAATGTGGTAATACCATGTCAATGAAACCTTCTTAAAGAATGATCCAAACAATTCAATGAGTAAAGTACTTACACAAATAAGATCAAAGAAAAATCATGAAAGGTAAAAAAATAAGTAGTGGTATATTTTGAAGCAGCCAAAATTTAAACAGCTAAAGAAAACCGCAGATTTGTCAATGTAGAAGATGCTTTACAAAATAAAAATGCAGATGTTCTGATATAATATACACTACTTACTAAAAAAATAAAATACAGAGCTCAATCACCTGTTATAAATAAAGAAAATGCATAAAACCGCAAAATTGGGGAGGGGGATACAAATCTGAATAATAATAAAAAGATCTACCAATTGGTGTTTCAGATTTGGAATACTAAGCATAGATCTGAAATTCCACCAATGATAGAAACATCTTAAAATTGTGTTTCATATTTGGATAATTAAGAAAGACTTAATTTTGGTATACAGTATTTGGTAAGGGTGGAAGCTGATGCAGCAAAGAATGATGACGACAATAATGACGAAGACAACCGATTGATGAGATTGGGGCTTATAGAATGAAGTACCTGATTGGATGCAGAAAATTTTCGAGTAGGACTTCCGAGCCGAAGGGAAGCAGGTTATATACTCCACTCTGGAAATGTTAGGAACTTAGGGAGTGTTTGCAACTGCTTCTGCTTAAAAAAAAGCACTTTTGGAGATGTAATGAAAAAGTGATTAGTAGTAAAAGTTGATAGTGTTTGAGAAAAAAGTGATTTTGAAAAGTAAAAGTTGGTAGTGTTTGGTAAAATAAGTGCTTTTTGTGTAATAGAAAAGGGAAAAGCACTTTTCACACGCAAGCCGAGAAAAAGTAAAAATTGGAAGTGTTTGGTAAATAAGTGCTTTTTTAAGCCAAAAGCTGAGAAGTGCTTTTTTTTAAGCTATTGCAAACACTCCCTTAGGATGCTGCTAAGGTGGAGTACGGACTACGGAGTTATAATGTACTGTATCCAATAAGTTATGGTTGGGTTGGGCAAAAAACCCGAACCAGCACGTTACAGAACCGGACTGATATGGTTCAGGATCGATAAACGGAGTTTGAAGTGGATCTTAAAATTTTTAGTTCCGAACCGGACCATACCGATGCAAACAATGTCATGACAAGTTCTCATAAAATGAGAATCGGTATCAGACTGGAGCAGACTAAAGAATAGTTTAATTATTTTAATTTGTACTACTATAGTTTATCTGAAATTTATTAATTACTTCATCCGTCCCAAATTGATTTGCAAAGTCAACATTTTAAGTCCTCCCTAATGATAATTAATACAATTTTTAATAATTAAAATTTACATATTTAAAAACCACATTAAAATCTTTTTAAAGTTGCAAAATTCAAATTAGAATATACGAATTTTTTTTTTATGAAAGCCCAAATTAGAATATAATTGAAAAAATGAAATCCTAATTAAGTGAATAAAAAGAAACATTTTAACCAAAGGTTGATTTTGCAAATTAATTTGGAACGAAGGTAGTATGAAATATGCAAATTGATAAATTGTGTGGATTTTTGGAGAATGTATATTTTGACGCAGTCAACTTCAAAAAATGATTTGAATGCCTTCCCGATCGAATTTTGAGCTGAAATTTGGTATGGACAAACTAGACTTGATGAGGAACATGCTCAAAAAATTTCATCAAAAAATTCCACCGGGAAGAGCCCCAAATGTCCATGTTCGGACGGTGTTCGGACCAGGAATGTTCGGACCTGAACATTCTTCTCTCTCTCTCTCTCTCTCTCTCTCTCTCTCTCTCTCTCTCTCTCTCTCTATATATATATATATATATATATATTAATTTTAAATAACTAGCCCCTGCAGCCCAGAGAATTAAGCCAACCATCAGCCCTGCATCCGACATCCCTCAATCCTTCAGCCCAACCCATAAGCAGCCCAACCCCGGTAACTTACTACTCTTCGTCTCTTCCGCTTAACGCAAAAAAGAAAAACAGACCGATTCAGGAGCAGCCGATTAGGAGTGCAGCCGTGCTGCCCGTGCAGGACAATACGCTGATACGCCAACTCGCCAAGAACAACCGAACAGCACAACAGCAAGAGTGACGTCGAGCAGGTCATTCAATTCTTCATCTTCCTACAACCCTGCCGCGGTGCCGCGGTGCCGCTGGCCGCCTGCCGGGCTGCCGGTAACTAGGTAAGCCGCAAATGCCCTGGTAGTTGTTAATTTGTTATTTGTTGATTTCAATTGTTATTTTGTTAATTTATTAATTGTTAATTTTTAATAGTATTTGTGATAGTTCGTATTTCGTAATTGTTGATATTTGTGAATTGTGAATTGTGATAGACTGATAGCCGATAACTTGTAGGGCTGTTTATTTTAATTTAGTAACTGTTAATTTAAATTTTTTGTAGTATTTCTAAATTAATAATTTATTAATTGTTAATTCTTATAAGTTTTAATTGTAGTATTTCTAGGTTGTTTGAGAAAGAATGTCTCTGTTACAATTTTATCCAAAGGTTCCCAAAGGTAGTAAAGGGCCGAGCATTGAAGGTTCTTCATCGAATAATGTAATTTCTTCGTCAGATAATATCACTCCTAACATTGAAAATAATGTTAAAAAGCCTCGAATAGAAGTTGAAACATCAGAGGACGACATTGTTGGTGATCCTGGATTGCGTAAAGCGATTGAAAGTTACGATGTTAATATTAGAGAAGAAGTGAGAAGACGTTATTTGACAAAGGGCCCTACTCAACCACGTGACTTCAAATTTCCACAAACTGATTTCAGAGGGTGTATGAGATCATTTCAAAAGCATTGGTTTGAAGAATTTACTTGGTTGGAATATAGTGTTGCTAAGGATGCAGCCTTTTGTCACTTGTGTTATTTGTTTGCTAGAGGCCATAAAAATGGGGATGATGTTTTTACTGAAATTGGTTTTAATAACTGGAGGAAGGCCAAGGAAAAATTCCGTGACCATGAAGGAACTCCAAAAAGCATACACCATTATGCAAAAATTCAATATTCCGGGTTCAAAGACCGAAAGCAAAATGTGGATTATGTATTATCCCAACAAACCAGGAAAGATGAGAATGATTATCGTGCTAGATTAACAATTATTGTTGATATAGTTCGATTCCTTTTAGAGGGTGGATTGGCTTTTCGAGGTCACGATGAATCAGATACTTCAGTGAATTCAGGTAAATATTTATTATATTATTTACATCATTTTTAACTTATTAGTTACATTATTAGTTTATAATGCTTATTGTTAAATTTGTATAAATGTATCTACAGGTAATTTTCTTGAACTCTTGAAATGGGAGTGTAGACGGCATCCACATATAAATATGGTGATGAACTCAAACGCTCCTGGGAATAGTCAACTTACCTCTCCTAAAATTCAAAAGGAGATTGTTAATGCGTGTGCAACTGAGGTAAGATTAGCTATTATTAATGAGATTGGTAGCAAGTATTTTTCTCTATTGATTGATGAGGCTCGAGATAGTTCAATAAAAGAGCAAATGTCTGTGGTTTTATGGTTTGTTAATAACTGTGGGGAGGTAATTGAGCGATTTCTAGGAGTGGTGCATGTTAGTAACACTTCTGCGCAGACATTGAAAAATGCCATTGATGATTTTTTTGCAAAGTATGGTCTTTCATTGTCTAAGGTTCGAGATCAAGGTTATGATGGAGCGTCAAACATGAGCGGTGGGATTAATGGCTTAAAACAAAAAAGAATTAGAAGAAAATAAGCAAGCACACTATGTGCATTGTTTCTCTCATCGCCTTCAGTTAGTGATTGTTTCCTGTTTGAAGAACAATGGAATAGTTGGTAGTTTTTTATCATCTTATCATGATTGTGAATATGGTTGGTGCTTCATGTAAAAGAAAAGATGATCTTTTGCAAAAGCATTATGAAAATCTTGTAGGCCGTATAGAACGTGGTGAGGTCAGCACAGGGAAAGGGAAAAATCAAGAAAAAAGTCTTGTAAGACCAGGTGATACTCGTTGGGGATCTCATTATAAAACAATTATTAGAGTTGTTGATATGTGGGATGCGGTGATTGAGGTACTTGAAGCAATATTTGATGATGGTGTGGATCAGAAAAGTAAATCCACTTCTTCTAGTTTGATTGAAAAAATGGCAACATTTGAGTTTGTGTTCATTTCTCATTTCGCCGGTGGTGCCGGCGTCTTGAAAGTACCACCACCCCCACCGTGGTTATTCTTTCGTGCTTGTTCGGGCAGCCCCGAACTATGTCATTTTCTCTTTTTCGCCTCCTCGGCGTCTTTTTCTTTTCTCTCATTCCATTGAGCCTCCCCAAGAAGGCTCTGCTCCACCACCTCGCTAAAGGTCATGTGGCGCGAGTACGTAGCCCGATCACGGATGTCCACGAGTAAGGCATCCCAAAAGTGCACCGACATGCGGTCCTCATTGATCGCGTACTCCGGCAAGAACCTAGCCAAGGTTCTAAAATCTTGCTCCAACTGTTTAACAGAACCACCCTCCTTCTGTTTGAGGTTGGTGTATTCCCTACGCTTGACATTTTTCTCATAGTCAGTGTAGTATTGGTCATAAAATTCCTGCTCAAAATTTAACCATGAGACCTCCCCATGGTATTTTCCTTCTACACTCTCCCACCACGTGGAAGCTATCCCCTCAAGCAGTCGTGAAGCAACAGTCAACTTCACGTCCGGTGAAATTTGCATGTCTTAGGGTCTGTTTGCAACCCATTAAATAAAGTAATTTTAACTTTTTTTTTAAATAAAAAAGCACTTATTTTACCAAACACTACCAACTTTTACTTTCTCGGCTTCCATGTAGAATCTACTTTTTACTTTTTCTATTACACAAAAAGCACTTATTTTACCAAACACTACCAACTTTTACTACTAATCACTTTTTCCCCAAAAGTGCTTTTATTTAAGCAGAAGTGGTTGCAAACAAAGCCTTACTCGCTCAGTCCCATATAGAGGTTCCCGGTTCGCGTTACGATGCTTGACTGACGATAAAGCAACTTGATGCCTGTTTACGCTCTGATTATTTGTAGTAAATAAAATTTACATATTCAGAAACTATATTAAAGTCGCTACAAATCCTGATTAAAAAATATAAATTTCATAAAAATTGATATATAAAGAAAAATGTTAAGAATGATTTAAGTTGATCATGTGAATAGTAGACAGGAACCTTTAAATAGGACGGAGGGAGTATGAAACAATGATTCTGTTATGTAGTCGCTTTTGTAACATCATTTCAACCACATACCGGGTACGGGTATGGGGAAAATGGAGCCAACCCGGCCGGTTCGGGCTTAATTCAATTTTTTTTTTTAATTTTTTTTAACTCTCCGAGTAGGGCTGAGTATTTTGGACCATTTGGACTGATTTGGGGGTGGGGGTCGGGGGGGTCAAGGGCTAATTATAAAAAGCAAATATATATATATATATATATATATATAGACAAAAGTTCATGTCTATATATATATATATATATATATATATATAATATATATATATATATACACACACACACATATATATAGAGGCCCGAGGCCCGGACCCGGTGGATACCCGGGCCTAGTGTTGGACCCGGGCCGGGTCAAGCCCGGGTCGGGCCCGGGCCGGGTCAAGGCCCGGTCGGGCCTCGGGTCCTATAATGGTAGGCCCGGGACCGGACCGGTCAATGACCGGTTCCGGTTCGGGCCGGGCCGCCCGCCCGGGTCACGGGTCGGGCCACCCGCCGGGCCGGGCCGGGCCATTATATTTTTTTTATTAATTATATATTATACAAATTGCTATTAAAAACAAAGTTCAAGTGCATTTATTTGAAATAAGAACTACATTTGAGAATTGAGAAAAAAATAACAATACGAAATAC